AAGGCCTCCCAGATGGCCTCCATCTCTGTGGGCAAAAAGAGAGAGGTTGTGAGGAACTTGCAGCCCATCCCTTCCTCTCCCCTTTTTGGGAATTCTGTGTTATGCGGTGCATGTTTTAGCCAGATATCCCAGCACCCAAAGTCCAAATGCAAAAACTCTCAGGCCAATAGTAAAAGTGAACGGAAAAATCTTTACTCTCTTTACTTTGCAGAGATGAAACAAAACTGGCAATGTTGTATACAAAAATCAGCAGTGCAACAAACTTACACAGTCTTTGTAAGAAATATAAAATAAGGCATCTTCATCTTACAGCAAATGAGAGATCAAAATAAACCTGAAGTAAATAGCTATTTCACCATAGCCTCCTCAGAGTAGCTTCTCCAAACTGCTCCCCAGAGCCAAGCCTTTGTCCATAGGTCTCCTCCGAGAAAAGGCTCTCCAGAAGCTCTCCCTCAGGATCTCTCTTTCAACATCTCCTGCTGGAACCCCACACTGGTGAACCAGAACCCCAGAATGTATTCAAAGAAACTCAAACAGTTATAGCCCCTTGGGTATGGAACAAGATTGCTGGTTGACCTACTTAGCCAGCTGTTTTTCTTCACACACATACTTGGTCCTGCAACGACTTATCACAACACTCTGCCCTGCAGCCCAGCCTCAGCCAGGGCCACAAAGTGCTCTCCTAGGGCCCTCAGCTGACTGTCTCTGGTGGAAATACAATGCTGATTCCTGGAAAGCAGGAAAAGCCCTCAGCTCCCAAAATGGATCCCTAGACCATACCCAGAAGCCCAGCAGGAGGGGAACTTCTCCAAGTCTGGTGCCCTGAGTGACCCCACCCCAGTCCCTCTTTCCTTTGCTGATGGGAATCGAGGCACCCTTTAGAGTAGGCATGGACCAACTTTGGACCTCCAGGTGTTTTGGACTTAAACTCCCATAACTTCCAACTGTTGGAATTCCACCCCACACTGCCCAAGTTTCAAGTCCTCAGTGAGGAGCAGTTAGTTTAGTATAGGCTAAGGGAATTCCCTTCACCTCATATGTATGACAGTTGGAATGTATCTTTTTCCTCTCTCTTCTCTCTGTTTATGCTCTCATTCTGATTGGTTGTGTAAAACTGATGTTTTTCTACTGCAAGCCTTTGTAAATTTGACTTCTGTTTTTCTTACATCTGTGTATGTGCTGTGTGCTTTGAGATCTCTCTCTGCTTATGTGTCAGAGAGATGTAGTGACTGGTGATGTTTCCCCCTCTCTTAAGAAGCTTAGAAGAGATGGGTGTTGAGAGTAGCTCAGACCTAGTTATTTACCTATTAAGAAATGTAGTTATTATTATTGTAATGATTGTATTTTGTAATTTTCAAGATTGTACTCCACATGTTTGCCTCCTAAGCTCTTAATTCTTTTCAGCCACATTACACGGCACTTCATGCTCTGCTCGCTAATGAGCTGAATGCTCAACTTTTAGTATCCCATTTGTTTTTTGATTCTCTGCTATATTTTTGGGTAGCTTTTCCTACCACCAACAGGCTACCGGCTGTTAGGAATTGTGGGAGCTGGAGTCCAAAACACCTGGAGGACTGAAGTTGGCCCATGCCTGCTCTAGACTCACCTAGGCCTGCAATGAGGCTTCGTTCCCCTCGTCCTCCTCCTTCCTGCAGCCTCTTGGGTTCCTTCTGCATCACTGCGCCAGGCCTGGGCACCGAAAGCATGGCCCCCCAGCTCAGGGCCCCCAAGGCCAGAAGCAGCCACCACATTGCAGGAGATGGATACAGCTGCCCCATTGCTTGGCTTCTCTGGGGAGAGGCTAGAGAGTGGGCAGAGCCTCTGCCTCTGCCTGGCATTGCCTCTGTTTGCCCAGGGAAATCAGGGCAGGCAGTCCCACAGGCCCAGCCCTGCAAAGCCATGGCAGCCGGCACCTGACCCAGAGTGGCGGGGGGTGGGGATCGGGACCCAGGGGTCGTAGTTGCAAAGGCTTCGTTATAATGCAATTTATTCCATGTTTTCTCCTCTTCAAGAGACTCTTCCACGCAACCATATAACCCACAACAATGTTGTTTATTCGTTCAGTTGCTTCCGACTCTTCGTGATCTCATGGACCATCCCACGCCAGAGCTCCCTGTCAGTTGTCACCACCCCCAGCTCCTTCAGAGTCAACCAAGTCACTTCAAGGATACCATCCATCCACCTTGCCCTTGGTCGGCATCTCTTCCTTTTTCCTTCTATTTCCCCAGCATCATTGTCTTCTCCAAGCTTTCCTGTCTTCTCATTATGTGGCCAAAGTACTTCATCTTTGCCTCTAATATCCTTCCCTCCAGTGAGCAGTCAGGCTTTATTTCCTGAAGTATGGACTGGTTGGATCTTCTTGCGGTCCAAGACACTCTCAGAATTTTCCTCCAACACCACAGTTCAAAAGCATCTATCTTCCTTCACTCAGCCTTCCCTAAGGTCCAGCTCTCACATCCATAGGTTACTATGGGGAATACTATTGCTTTTAACTATGCGGATCTTCGTTGCAGTGTGATGTCTCTACTCTTCTATAGATTGGATTTTGCTCTCCTCCCAAGAAGTAAACATTTTCTGATTTCCTGACCACAGTCTGCGTCTGCAGTCATCTTTCACCTGGAAAAATAAATTCTATCACTGCTGCCATGTTTTCTCCCTCTATTTCCCAGTTATCAATCAGTCTGGTTGCCATTATCTTGATAACCCAGAAGATCGAGGCATGCAATCCCACAGTATCTGCGTTGAACTGGGTTATCTGAGTCCACACTGCCATATATTCCAGTTCAAAGCAGATCATAGAATCATAGAATCAGAGTTGGAAGAGACCTCATGGGCCATCCAGTCCAACCCCCTGCCAAGAAGCAGGAATATTGCATTTAAATCACCCCTGACAGATGGCCATCCAGCCTCTGTTTAAAAGCTTCCAAAGAAGGAGCCTCCACCACACTCCGGGGCAGAGAGTTCCACTGCTGAACGGCTCTCACAGTCAGGAAGTTCTTCCTCATGTTCAGATGGAATCTCCTTTCTTGTAGTTTGAGATATTGTGGGATTTCCTGCCTTGATCTTCTGGGTTATATGGCTGTGTGGAAGGGCCTTCCAAAAACATATCCCCATCCCTGCAAAATAAATATTTTTTATGAATTATGCAATAATGAACTCTACGAAGAAATACTCCACACGCTACCAATACAAGCTCATCAAACGCTCCGACTATATTCTCTATATTCTTTCGGCATCATCTTCTGGCTTTCCCTCGCCTTCCTTGCTGTTTAACCACAGGTACACAATTCGCTACCGATAGTTTTCTTAACCACAAGTACACACGTCGGTTCTGACGTAAGGTTATTTCCCTAAAGAGAACAACAAATATTCTGTGGCATTCTCGATTTACATTCCACACAATTCACTCAGCTAATAGATCATGTCTGGGGTGAATGTAATTATTCTAGGCCAGACCGCTTAAGCGGCTGAGGGGGAAAAGGAAAGGGCCTGAGGCTGTTAGGAATTGAGGGAGTTGAAGTCCAAAACACCTGAAGGGAAGGCCCAAGTGGGCCCAGGCCTGTTGTAAAGTGTATTGATTGTTCAAGAGGGGAGGCAACCTGTGCCCCAAGCCCTTTCCCCACATCTGTCCTGGTTGGCAAAGGCTTTATTTCTCGTGTCAGGGCAGCCAGTCAATTATATTACATTTCTAACAACAAAGCAAACAAACAGAGAAAATACAAAATGTGTGAGTTTGGTAGTTGATTAAATATCCTTTGACCAGTATCTGGCCACTTGGAGTGCCTCTGGTGTTGCTGCAAGAAGGTCCCCCATTGTGCATGTGGCAGGGCTCAGGTTGCATTGCAGCAGGTGGTCAGTTTGCTCTTCTCCACACTCGCATGTTGTGGATTCCACTTTGTAGTCCCATTTCTTGAGTTGGTTCTGCATCTCGTGGTGCCAGAGCTCAGTCTGTTCAGCGCCTTCCAAGTCGCCCAGTCTTCTGTGTGCCCAGGGGGGAGTCTCTCATTTGGTATCAGCCAAATGTGTCATAGTGCTGTGTGGTTCTGTTGCTCAACAATCAATAAACCACTATTCAAGTGGGCTTGTGGATGCAGTTATTCATAATGGTTAAAAGCACAGCTGCCTTTGCAATATTTACATGGCACAACTCTGCTCCCATCAAGGTACAACTAGCCCCATTTCTTAAGGTTGGCTCTGCATCTCGTGGTGCCAGAGTGCAGTCTGTTCAGCGCCTTCCAAGTCGCCCAGTTTTCTGTGTGCCCAGGGGGAAGTCTCTCATTTGGTATCAGCCATTGATTGAGGTCTGGGTTTGAGCCTGCCACTTTTGGACTCTCGCTTGCTGAGGTGTTCCAGCGAGTGTCTCTGTAGATCTTAGAAAACTATGTCTGGATTTAAGTCGTTGACGTGCTGGCTGATACCCAAACAGGGGATGAGCTGGAGATGTCTCTGCCTTGGTCCTTTCACTATTGGCTGCCACTTCCCAGCGGATGTCAGGTGGTGCAATACCGGCTAAGCAGTGTAATTTCTCCAGTGGTGTAGGGCGCAGACACCCCATGATAATGCGGCATGTCTCATTAAGAGCCACATCCACTGTTTTAGTGTAGTGAGATGTGTTCCACACTGGGCATGCATACTCAGCAGCAGAGTAGCATAGCGCAAGGGCAGATGTCTTCACTGTGTCTGGTTGTGATCCCCAGGTTGTGCCAGTCAGCTTTCGTATGATGTTGTTTCTAGCACCCACTTTTTGCTTGATGTTCAGGCAGTGCTTCTTGTAGGTCAGAGCACGGTCCAGAGTGACTCCCAGGTATTTGGGTGCGCTGGCAAAGGCTGAGGCCTCCCAACTGGCCCTTCTGCCCCACTTGTGGAGGCGCCTTCAGTCCCAAAGGGGAGTAACAAGCCCTTCAGTCCTGTGCCAGAGGGGGCGGGGCCACAGACAACACAGCTGACCAGGCCCCGCCCCTCGCCCCGCCTTTCCTCAGAGGCGTCCCGCCTCCTTTTTCCCGGGCAGCTTCCGCCGGAAGCGTCTCTTGAGTGCCTCTCCCTTCCCTGTCCCCCTGGTCCCAGTTGGCCAGCATGGCTCCTGCAGGGGCGTCGCTCTGGGTGAGGCTTTTCTCTTTCGGCTTCTAGCAGTGACGGTTCTCCTAGAATAGAAAGAAACCAAAGTATTTCCCAAAAAAGCAGGAGCCCTCTTTCCAAATTTGGGGGTGGAGGGATAAAGAAGGAAACCACAAAACTTGAATCTTTTTTCTTTCAATCTCAAATGTCCTTTTACTACTGAAGATAAAGTCACTCATTTTACAGAGCAAGAATATAATGTCAACATGTCTGTATTCAATTAAACACATGATACAAACATTTAAAAACATGGCAACATGTAAATAGAACTGTACCTTTAACAAATACCTGGAATTGGACACAATATTGTGAATTGGACACAATATTCCACACCTGGAATATTGTGTCTAATTCACTACCTGGAATATTGTGTCCAATTCTGAGATATCGACAAGCTGGAATGTGTCCAGAGGAGGGCGACTAAAATGATCAAGGGTCTGGAGAACAAGCCCTATGAGGAGCGGCTTAAAGAGCTGGGCATGTTTATCCTGAAGAAGAATAGAATCCTAGAGTTGGAAGAGACCTCATGGGCCATCCAGTCCAACCCCCTGCCAAGAAGCAGGAATAGATCTTAGACAGGCCCGTCCATTGGCAGTCTTTAGAAAGAACTTGAAGACCTGGCTGTTCCGATGTGCCCTCCCAGAATAGGAAATCTCCAATACCAAGTCCCAGAACCACTTTTTCAGAACTAAGATTGCCGCACACTGCACACTGCATTTACCCTATAAGCCTTATATACCACCTGTCACATCAGCACTTTTAATTCGGTACCCATTACTCTGGCC